ACTGCCTCATAATATTGTTCTGGGCAATAGCAAACTGCTGATCATTTTTAAAAAATGACTGACATTTGACTTTAAAATATGAAACTATTTTAAAGAGTTTGATTTATGAAAACTATTGATTTTTATAGCATTTACCTTCCTTGAAACTATGAACCTCATTTTCGTATTCTCTTTTTGTTATCTGAAAGCTATTTTACAGTAAAAGAAATGTAACTAGCATTGTTAGCTACTTGTAACAAAGATATGGTGATCTTAGTCTTTACAAACTCAGTTGTATCTTGGAACAGACACTTGCATTTTTATCTGGTAAAATTAACATATAAAATGAGTTCAAATGGATAATACTGACATTATTTTATTAGAAAGTGTCCCGTCATCCACTGTGACCCAAATCATATTCTGTTTTCTCTTTGAAATCTTTATCAACTCTTTCAGTCAGAATCTATCACTCATTGTATTTAATTTTTTTAATTTTAAAATGAAAAGAGAAAAAAGTGATACAGAATTTCAAAACAAAATAATAGAAGATTAACAATGGTAAGAGTATTGCATATTGTTATATTCAAAGTAGTTGCTCAGATGGCTTCTCTCTCAGGTCCATTCTCCTCTCTAATTGCATGTTTCTTTAGATGATTTACCTTTCTGGCTTTTTCACACTTCTGGGTTCTCCAGTTAACCTTTGACTTTATACTTGCAGCTTTACAAACTGCCCTCTCAGGGGCTCACTGCCTGGTCTCCCGGACTTTCTGAAATTGGGGTGCCTTAACCTCAGAACTAATGCATTCTCAATGCACCTAAAACCAGTGCCACATGGATGCTGCCAAGGTCTGCTGCCAGCTGGAGCAGTAGCCAGGCTTTCCTCTCTTGTGGCTCTAGGGGTCAAGTGTTTGGATTGCTGAGCACTCTGAACCACATTGTGAGGAACAGATTCTCTATGCCACCACCATTCTGGAACCTGGTGCGTCCACCATTTTGGAACCTTCTGTGACCTCTGCCACTACTCTGGAACATGGCACTCTGCAGCTTTCTCCTCTTAGCAAAATCTTTTACTTTTGCAGTTTTGAGGCTGCAAAAATTAGAGACCTATGCTTCCCATGATGACCCAGGTCATCTTTTTTATTTCTCTGTTCCTTCTCAGCAATCAAGGTTTTAACTCTGTCTTTGTAGTCCACAGCTTTTTGGTTAGACTCACAACATTTTAAATTATCCTGCTGGGTCCTTTGCCCTTGACTGCAATATAAATCTGGTTAAAAGCTTCAAACAATAGCCATGCTCACCATCTCAACATTTGACTGCCTTGAAATTTCTTCTGCCAGATTAATCAGTCCTCTACCCCTTAATTTCCATCTCAGGCAAACTCTCTGGATATGAACAAAATGCAGACAAACTTTCTGCCAAGGTACATCATGTTGAGTCCAACAACCAATGCAGTCCTTTCCAGCAGAAACTCCCTGAACCTGGTCTTTCCCAGCAGGCTTTCTAGTAGCCTTCCAGTCTCTTGAGCTCTGACCAGAGTCTCTCATACACAACAGCCTAAGCAGTTCCAGCACTACTCTTTCAGGTGACATCTCTGAACGTTTCTAAACTCTTCCTACAATCCATTCCCAGAGGCTCTTGAACCACATGGTCAGGTACAGTTGCAGCAATGGCCCCACTCCACTGGTACCAAATTCTGTCTTGGTTACTTTCTCTCATTGTTGAGACAAAATACCTGATGCCCAAAGTGAGGGAAGGAAAGGTTTATTTCTTAAAGTTTTTGGAAGTTTTAGCCCATACTCAGCTGTTCCAAGGCACGTTGGCATGGTTGAGAGACAGCCATTCATAGCAGCCATAAGGGACAAGAGCTTTAGCTCTTTAGGGCAAAAGGGGCAGAAAGCACGCCTCTTTCCCTCCCCTATATTACATACTGGCTTCCCACTGCTGGGTGGGTGCAGTACTCACACTACCAAGCCCAGTGCTAGAAAATAAAACAATCACAAATACTAGATTCAGCCAGCTCCATGATTGCATGAGGGTTGGTGGGGGATCTGAACACAAACCATAATAGACTCTTAGTCAATCTCAGTCATGGAATACCAGGACCAACAGCTGTTTAGAACAAGCATGTTGATTTTGGCTACAGTGGTACCAATAGCATCAAACACAGCCTAGAAAATGACAGACTGAGCTAACCCTTAATTTGCCACTTTTTTCGTACAAACTAAATTTGTGGTTATATAATAGGATCTAAAATGAACTGGAAAATTAAGTACAGTATACAATGACATGCGAATTTTGCCATTGGGGTTTAAAATTTAATATAGCTTAAGTGTAAAATGGAGAATTGGAAAAGGAGGAAGAGATGTAAGGTTGGAGGACCAAGTAGGATCATGCTAATTTTGGGAAATCAGTGTAAAAGACTGCAAGGAAAGAGCAAATGAAGAGACAAAAAGAACAGAACAGAGCTACAGGGAGGCCAGAAACCATGTTTACACTTACATACAAATAAAATCTAACAATGAAGGAGAAAGAAAGGAAAAAAGACAAACCCCTAAAAACTAAAAATCAAAGACAAATGTGACTGAGACGAGGGAGAAGACAGAAAAAACTTCTGGGTTTGTGCAGGTTTGTCTCTGCTGCCACTGGCAGACCGCCTGCAGAGAAACAGTCTTGATCTGTGTTGGTCTATCCCAGCAAACCAGCAGTAGCTTTTTGGTGGGGTGTTCTTCACTTTTAAGCAGTTTCTTTTCCTTTCATGATATCTACTTTAGATTTTGGATCTTATTTACTCTCTCAGCTTCTTACACTAGGGAGTTAATAGGGTGTTTACATGTACAAGTTTGATCTCACATTACATCCATTTTCCTATAAAAGCCTTAAGATTATCCTTTCTTTTAGCTGAGTACTCTCGTGTGTAAAAATACCACATCTTTTTTAAAATCCATTCCATGTTTGATGGACATTTGGGTTGTTTCCAAGAGTTAGCTCTTACAAATTGTGCTGCTATAAACATGAGTACATATATATCGCTGTTGTATGATGTTTTTAATTCTTCTGGAAAAATGCCCATAAGGGGAATAGTTGGATTGGATGGGACCTTCCAACCTAGTTTTTTGAGAAATCTCCACACCGATTTCTGTTAGTCTGCCCTTCATCAACAGTGGACAAAAGTTTCTTTTTCCCCACAGCCCTGCCAGCATTTGTTATTGTTTGATTTCTTAATGATGGTCATTTTTTCTGGAGCTAGGTAGAATCTCAGTGTTGTTTGCATTTCTTGAATGATCAGTATGTTGAAGATTTTTTCATATATTTATTTGCAATTTGTGTTTCTTCATCTGAGAAGTACGCATTCATCTTTGATGCCGATTTTTTGGACTAAGTCTTTGATGGGGGGGTCTGATTCTCTCTCTCTCTCTCTCTCTCTCTCTCTCTCTCTCTCTCTATTTCGTATTGGAAATTGAACTGACAACCTTATGCTTGCCAGGCAGGTCCTTGTGCTGCTGAGCTAAGCCCCCGGCCCTGATTTTTTTTCAATTCCCTATATGTTCTGGATTGGAGTGTTTTGTCTGAGGGACAATTGGCTAAAATTTTTTCTCACTCTGTGGATTGTTTTTTTTTCACTCTGTCAGTGATTTCTTTTGATATACAAAAGCTTTTTAATAAAAGCTTTTGATTCTTTAAAGTATTGGGTTTTGTTCATGAACTCTCTGCCTACACCTTTGTCTTCAAGGTTGCTATCTACTTTCTCTTCCAGTAGATTTAGTGTTTTTGTTTTAAGATTTAGATCTTCAGTCCATTTAGATTTTAATTTAGTGCATAGTGAGAGGCATGGGTCTAGTTTTAGAGTTTGGAGTGCAGAAATCCAGGTTTTTCTTTTTCTTTTTCCTTGTGAAATTTATTGTTTTCACATTAAAAGCTTTTAGAGGGAAGGAGGGGAAATATTTTTTTTAAACTACATGATGATCCTCTATAACTGCCCAGAGTAGTGCACCATCATAAGTCATTAACATGCCATATGAGTTGTGAATAAATAAAAGCTACAAAGCCCAAGTTATACACAAATATCTTAGGCAATAATGTTTATAAACCTATGTACAATAAAACAAATATAAACAGTAAACGCAGCATGAGAGTAATCAAAGGATACATAGGGACAACCACTACCAGCCCCCAGAATTAGGCCACCCAGTCCTTCCTTATGAAACTGGATGGACCCTCAGATGTGAAAACAGGAATCTGAAACTATCACTCAACTGAAGGACTGGAAAGCTGGGGAGGAGGATGCCATTTACCACGTGCCCTAAGTCTGGAGCACCTGGAGGAGGAGGCAACACAAAGGCTGAGTCTTGGGAGTGCCAGGCCCAGGAGGCTCCTGCCACCTATGGCTCAGACAGCATTTCGTGGCTTGGGAAGCAAGTACATGGAATAGTGACAGCTATGTAAAATTGGAAGGTGCTGACATTGTTCCCTAATTCAGCGGCCTTTATAACTCTGCCTGAAACAGGCCCAGACTATAAAGGTGGCGAGAGGGATGCATGATTATGAGCACTGAAGGTGCTTACATAGGAGAGCAGGAACACTAACCTGATTGTGGGCGAACTTCTAGAGATCTGCAGTGTCCTAAACACAGCTAAATCTTCTCAGCACAGCAGAGTGGGGGTTATGAGGCAGGCATGATGAATTGGCACCTCCGTGTCCAGTGATCAAGTGATACATGTATGAATTACCTTGTGACCCGTAAAAGTGCAATCATGTGAAACCAATGGCTCTATGGCAAGAAGAGAAAATAGCCAGTATTGAGATTGCACAGAGTCCTGGAGCTGGGCAGGGCCCAGCAGCCGCCACTGCATTCAGCCCACACTGTGAGCCATGGGGAGGCAGGAAGGGGGTCACAGGGATGGGCACAGGCACTGAAGGGTGAGCCATGGGTGTCCTGGGTTGTTGGAGGAGGGCAGGAACCTCCACCTGGAAGCCGAGCACTCACACACTAAGAGGCAGCATATCCTGTGCTGACCTCGACTCTAGGAGCCCAAACCAGGAGGAGGAAGGGCAGGGTCGAAGCAGTTTACTGTGCCTTGATTGAGAGAACTTTTGCCATTGCTGGTCATGACTCCATGGTTAATATTCTCTGAAATATAAAATTTTCCTGCTGCCTGGTCCTTTGCAAAGTTCCTACAAGCTGCTAACTTGGATTCTGAAGCCCCTACTTTCCGTAAGGGATCCCCCACAATGTTTAGTGCTGATATCCTACCTGAAGGAGTTAAGGGACTGGTTCCAAAATTATTTGGTACAGCTTTTAGGGAAAAGCTGTTTTCTGTTGCTTTGGCAACAGGGATAGCCAGCAAGGAGAGCAAAGCCTGCACAGCAGAATCCCTCTTCTCAAAGTCCACAGTTGGAGCACTGGGAGCCGACTTTCGGGTCATTTGCTGTTTTTCCTGCACTGCTAATTCTTGCCTTAAATCTCTTGCTGCATCCTTTTACCTCTGTACAGAATCCAACAGAAATTTCTTTTCATCAAGTTTACTTTCAACAAGTGTATTTCATTCAGTGGCCTGACTTAGCCTTTGTTCCAAGTCTTCCAGTGAAAGTGCTGTTGCTTTTTTTGCTCCTCGTCCCAGGTCATCATTGGCCGGCTCCAGCTCTCTCACATGCTTATGCAGCAGCCCTGGTCTGACTTAAATGGTCTTCTAATACAGAAACCTGCTTCTACCTCTGTGCATTCTGATGTTCTAGTTTCTCCTTTAATGCTTCTACTTCATATATCCATCTCTGGTTATCAGTTTGCTGGTCTCTGTTTCTTTGCTCTGCCTGTTATAATTATGCCTCCAACTCTGCTTCTAATTCTCCACTATTTTCTTGGAATTCAACTAGCTCATCCTGAGCTTCCTGGAAGCTTTGCTTATACTTCAAGGAAAGTTCCTACCGATAAGCAGTTTCTTCCTTTACACTTGAAAAATCTGGTGTATCTTCACCATCTATGGTCAAGCAAGCCTCTAAAGGGTCAAAAACTCATGTTCGCTGCTGCTCTGTCAAAGTCTTTCTGCTGGCCTGGCCAGGCCCGCCCAGCCAATGAGCGATGCTTCCCTCTGCAGCCCCAAGCTCCACTCTGAGGACCTCTGTGCCAGGCTCCTCCTCTCCATGGCCTCAGGAGCTGTGTGGGTATCCGGGACCATTCTGTGATGCACAGAAAGCATGTTTTTCCAGCACAATTTATTAAAGAGGCTGTTTTTCTTCCAGTGAACATGTTTGGCCTCTGTCAAAGATAAGGTGGCTGAGTGTGTTTGTAGTTCTGTCTGCATCTTCTAATCTGTTCCACTGATCCTCAGGTCTGTTTTTTTTGTGCCAGTACCATGCTGATTTTATCATAGTAGCTTTATAGTATAATTTCAAGTTAGGGATTGTGATGCCTCCCGCCTTGACTTTGTTGCCCAGGATTGCCTTTGCTATTTTAGGTCTTTTCCGATTCCACGTGAATTTTAGGAATATTTTCTCTAGATCTGTGAGGCATGCTAATGATATTTTGATCAGGATTGCTTTAAATCTGTATAACAATTTTGGGAGTATGGCTGTTTTCAATATATTGGTCCTTCCTACCCAAGAGCAAGAGATATCTTTTCATTGTCTGATGTTCTTGTCAATCTCCTTTTTCAGAATACTGTTAATTTTCAATATGTAGACCTTTTTCTTCCTTTGTTAGAGTCCATTTCATTTTTTTGTATGTTATTGTGAAGGGTGTGGTTTTCCTAATTTCTCTCTTAGTGAGTTTGTTGTTTGTGTACAGGAATGCTATTGATTTTGGAGTGTTCGCTTTGTATCCAGCTACATGGCTGAATTTGGTTATTAAATCTAGAAGGCTTTTGATGGAGTTTTTGGGGTCTTCTATGTAGAGTATCGTGTCATTTGTGAATAATGATAATTTAACTTCTTCCTTTCCTATCTTTATTTACTTTATTTCTTTCTCTTGTCTAATTGCTCTGGCTAAAGTTTCCAGGACTGTCTTAAATTAGATTGGAGACAGTGGACATCCTTGTCTTGTTGCTGATTTTAGAATGAAAGTTTCAGTTTTTGTCCACTTAGTAGGATGTTGGCTGTTGGTTTGTCATAGATGGTTTTTATCAGATTGAGATAAAGACCATCTATTCTAATTTTCTGTAGGGTTTTTACAATAAATGGGTGTCGGACTTTTTCTAAACTTAATTCCTTTTAAAAAGACCTTATCTTTCAATGCAGTTGTTTGCATTTGAAAGTCCCAGAGGTTAGGGCTTCAATGTATGAATTTTGGGGAAAACAGTTTGGTCCATAATACTTAGAGAGGGAGCAGACCTGTAGCTTCATTAGTGGAGGCAGGTTCTGAACGAGTTTTCATTATCTACATTCTTTCCACCAATTCTCTTATTTTTAGAACTCTTTTCTTCTTTTCTTCTTCTGAAGTGTCAGGTACACAATGGCAAGTTCCATTATGGAGCTGTTCTGGGGCCCTACAGCATGAATCAGCTCATTTGTTGTGACATCTTCTCAACGTAGGTACCTTGTAGGTGGAGAAAGGTGACTGAGGCTTGGCTGCCACTCTACTATTCCTGTCTTTAGGAAATGTTTTGATCTTTCTTATGATGTTTTTTTCCTCCCTTACTTTTTTGGTCTATGTTGATTTTTACCTTATTTTAAAAAATCTTTTCCTTTAAGGAATCTGAGGTACAGAAATGGGGATAAAAGCATACATTTGATCTGCCACTTATGCTGTAAATGAGTTGTTGATAGATAAACTGGCCTTGTGTTTTGGGACAAGAACTATTGATCATAAACCTTTTTGTTGTCATTACTGTTAACTGTCTCTACCTCTACCTTTTTTGGGTTATTTATATGTTTTTTAGTGGTGTGTTTTAATTTATATGTCACTATGTGTTGTATGCTTTTTAAGAGTTTGCACGTGAATTGAACTATACATACATTAAAAAGTATATACATACTTGCTGGGGATTTAGCTAAGTTCAGTGGCATAAGCACCTGCCTGGCAAGTATGGGGTCATGAGTTCAATTCCTGGCACTATATATATATATATATATATATATACTTAACTTTTTAGAGTGTACTTAGAATCAATATTTTACAACTTCAGTGCAAAATAGAAGTCTTAATACCATATAAGTCCTGTTCCCTGTCCTTTTAGTTATCTTATATATTTTATTATAATTCTTTCATGGACTGAATTGTGTACCTTTAAAACTCATGCATTAAACTACTAGTCCCAGTACTTAGAATGTGTCTCCTGTTTGAAGAAAAGGTCTTTAAGAAGTAATTCATCTAGAATTGAGGTAAAACAATATTGTTAGAGTGGGCCCTACTCCAACAGGACTGGTGGCCTTAATAGTGGAGGGAGTTTGGACACAGAAAGACACAGAGGAAAGACCACGTGAAGACACAGAGATGATCACCATGCACAAGCCACAGAGGGAGGTCTCAGAAGACAGCATGCTCCTAGCACATTGGTCTTGGACTTCTAGCCTCCAGAATTATAAGAAAATAGTTTTTTGTTGCTTAAGGTACTAAGACAGTGGTATTTTACTTGTAGTAGCCCTAGCAAACTAATATGCATACATTTTCATTTTCAAAAGTAAAATATATTTTAAGGAACTCAAATGGAGAGGGACAGTCTTATATTTATTTATCATCTGTTACTCTCTTGTATATGAGAGTTTAAGAGAGTACCAAATTTCTCCAGGTTTATTTCCTTTTGGTCTGAAGAATTCCTTTGGCAATTGTTTTGTGGTAGGAAGTGTTTCTTTATCTGAAAAGTCTTGATTTACCCTTTCATTCCTGAACAACTTTTTTACTGATAGAGAATTCTGAGTTGAGATTCCCTTTACATTAGCACTTCAAAAATGTGCGACTTCTTCTGGCCTCCATGATTTCACATGAGAAATCCTGTCATTAGAATTGTTATTTCAATATAGATGGGCATTATTTCTCTTTCGCTTCAAGACTTTTAAAAATTGTCTTTAGTTTTCAGAAATCTAATTATAGTTTGTACGAGTGTGGCTATTTTGAGTTTCTCCTGCATAAAGTTTATATGTCTTTTTGAATCTCTAGAGATGTTTTAAAATTTGGGGTATTTTCATCCATGATGTCTTTAAACAGTTTTTAAGTTTTTCATTCTTTGTCCTCTCTTGGGGTTTTAAGTTTTTGAGCTGGAGGTTTGCTAGGTAGTGCAGGCTGTCTCTGAACTCACCATGTAGCCCACGCTGGCCTCAAACTCAGCGATCCGCTTGTTTCAGCCTCCTGTGTGCTGGGATTATAGGTATGAACCATTACGCCTGGTGCCATCTGGGATTCTGACGCCATAAATGTTAGGTTTTTCCACTGCTCCCCAACTTGCTATTCATTCCTTTCCCCAATTTTTCTCTCTCTTGTTCAGATTGGGAAATTCTTTTGATATGTTTTTAAGATCACCGATCTCTCCTCTGTCTTCTTTGCTTTGTACTGAGCTCAGTGAGTGAGGTTTTACAAATTTCACTGTATTTTTTAGTGCTAATATTGCCACTTGATGGCTCATTGTATTTCCAATATTTTCCAGAGACTTCTGAGTTTTTTTCCATTTGTTTAAAAAAGATTTGTAATTTCTTGTTGGAACATTTTAATAGTTCATTTGGAATCCTTGTCATATAAATTCAACATTTGTGTCCTCTTGATTCTCATGTCTTTCAGTTGTCTTGTCCTTAGCTGAAATGAAGTTTTCGGTGTTAGCAGCATCTTTAGCCTTGTCCACTAGCTGCCTTTAGCACTCTCCCAGTGGTGACAACCACTTACCACAGTACATTTTGACAAATAATTTTTATTATCTTGTAGACATTCTGAATGTTACATGATGAAACTCTGGTTTTCATCTAGATATTACATTTTATAGGCACTAGATTTGTTTAGGCTCAAAACTTATGTCCTCAACCACTAGTGAGGGCTGTGGTTGAATGTCAGTTTACACTGCGTGGCCTAGGAAGTGCTGCTTTGGTCTGCCTTGGCTAATCTGAAACTTAGGTAGTCTTTCCGTGTAGTTCAGTTTCCACCAAAAACTTTTTTGTTTGTTGGGCCAGGTTTATTTCTTTTTTTTTTCCATTTTTTTTTATTAAGGAGAAAAAGAAAAAAAAAATAGAAATAGGGTACACGTTATACAGAATTTCAGAAAAAAATAAACAATAGGAAATCACTAATTAATAGATTACATATGGTTATCTTAGAAATAGTTGTTCAAGTTACAAAATTAAAGCATATAAAGCGGACTTACAAGCTGGAAACAGTTTTGTTCAATGATCCAACAAAACTCAGTAACATTTAGAGCACTTTCTTTTCCTTTCTTTTGTATAATGACAATTACACATTTTGGGTTTTATTACTCCCACAGTTCTTAGAGCCAGGTTTATTTCAACATGAACAATTTAGGGGTATACTTTGGACTTAATACAGATTTATAAGATTCTTTTATCCAATTTTTTTCTTTTCCACAAAACCCTTGTAAAGGAAGATGTTCCTTCCTTGCTCTCTGTCCTTTTTTATAAATAGTAATGGGATGGTAGAGATTGCTTCTTTCTTTCAAAGAACCAGCTCTTTGATGCATCGCTTCTTTGTATTGTTTT